AAGAAGGCAAAGGGGGGGTCACCCCAAATATTGATTGGAAGAAGGCAAAGGGGGGGTCACCACAAATAATGATTGGAAGAAGGCAAAGGGGGGGTCACCCCAAATATTGATTGGAAGAAGGCAAAGGGGGGGGGGTCATCCCAAATATTGATTGGAAGAAGGCAAAGGGGAGGTCACCCCAAATATTGATTGGAAGAAGGCAAAGGGGGGGGGGTCATCCCAAATATTGATTGGAAGAAGGCAAAGGGGGGGGGGTCATCCCAAATATTGATTGGAAGAAGGCAAAGGGGGGGGGGTCATCCCAAATATTGATTGGAAGAAGGCAAAGGGGGGGGGGTCATCCCAAATATTGATTGGAAGAAGGCAAAGGGGGGGGGGTCATCCCAAATATTGATTGGAAGAAGGCAAAGGGGGGGGGGTCATCCCAAATATTGATTGGAAGAAGGCAAAGGGGGGGGGGTCATCCCAAATATTGATTGGAAGAAGGCAAAGGGGGGGTCACCCCAAATATTGATTGGAAGAAGGCAATGGGGGGGTCACCCCAAATAATGATTGGAAGAAGGCAAAGGGGGGGTCACCCCAAATAATGATTGGAGGAAGGCAAAGGGGGGGGGGTCACCCCAAATATTGCATGGATTTGAATTTCTCTTCATTTACTTTCCATTTTGTTAATTGATAAAAAATAAACTCTGAACACTTTTATTTCTGGAACATTCTCACTTTACAGCATTACTGCGCTCAGTCCTGTATACTGTATACCTCAGCACATTACTATATATATATCAGGGAATACTCGGTGTTCTTATATATCGGTTGGTCGGCGCTCTGCCATGCGGCCTCTCGTGTCCTCGCTGTGGGTGGCGCAGTCTGTGGTTTGGGCGGGTTCATTACATTGATCTCTGATATCTTCTCCTCTCTTCTCAGTCTGCAGGTGGAGATATGAATTCCGTCAGAGAATTGTTCCAGGACGCGGTGAGTACCTCGCACTTTACCTTCCCTGCGTTTTTTTATCATTTTTGAAATATGTTATTTATATGTCCATTTTGCTGAACCCGCTCTTTTTTACACCCTAATGTGTCGTCCCCCCACAGTCCCATCAGTCTCTGTACAGAGGAGCTTACACTCTAATGTCCCCTCCCCCACAGTCACATCAGTCTCTGTACAGAGGAGCTTACACTCTAATGTCCCCTCCCCC